ACTACTACTTCTTACTACTCCTGCTGCTGCTGCTGCTACTACTACTACTACTACTACTACTTCTTACTACTCCTGCTGCTGCTGCTGCTACTACTACTACTACTACTACTAGTAGTACTACTTGCTACTACTACTACTGCTACTACCTATCTACAACAACAACAACAACTACTACTACTACTACTACTACTACTACTAGTACTAGTACTAGTACTAGTACTAGTACTAGTACTAGTACTAGTACTAGTACTAGTATTGCAGGTTGCAGCGGCAGCACAAAGTAAACCAGTAACGGGAAAGACAGGAATTGCCAACGACAAAGAAGCAAAAGCACCCATCATTCGAAAAGAAGCTTTCAGCACTCGAGGGTGTCCTTCAGGTCCTCGCTCCAGCGGCCGTAGGGCGCATTGCCTCAGATCTGCTCATCAGGAACCCGGAGAACTGCGAAAAAACTCCTTCCAAAACACTCCAAAACTCCGGGATGCATCATAACGCTCGACGGAGCACGAGAAAGACAAAACTCCGAAGAGCCTGGACCACCAGACCGTCCAAACCTGCATAATCCGTGTAATCCCTCAAAACTCAAGCCTGTAGCCTGTAGCCCAATTCGAGCCAGATTCTCCGAGGTGCAGTCGGGACTGCCTAGGACTTGCATGGCCTCTTTGGCGTACTGGCCGGTTTCGTGCTTTGCCTGCCCACCATTAAATGGCCGTCAGGCTGTATGGTAATTAGAGGCAATTAGAGGCATAGTAGGAGTTTGAGGGCTTAAGGCTTTGACAGAAGAAAATAAAAGAGGTTTCGGGGACATATTTAAAGCGCGGGGTTTCAGGCTTGAGTAGAAGCTTGAGTAGAAGGCTTTCAGGGTCCGGGCACATCGGGGCGCAAGCGGGTTGTGTAGTTGGAGGTTTAGGCTTATAACCAGGGCGTGTCGGATTGAATACATATCGATGGCTGTACAACCTGACGCTTCGATGCGTCTCTTGTTGCAAAAATAAGTAAGGCTCAAGATAGGATGTCCTCAAGGAGCAGGCCAGTCGAACAGTTGAACATTCAAAAACGAGGGCAAACCGTTAGGAAAACACGAGAAACTTGACAGCACGGAGAAGCAAACAGGAGAAGTTGAGAAGAGGTGCACAGCACTTCAAAGGAACAGACCGAGAAGATAATTTGAGAAAGAGCCGCAACCTAGTGACACGTGCTAACAAGGCTTGGAAACCAGAGACTCGAAAGACATTAGAGAGAATTCGAGAAGCGGGAGAATATGATTAAGAGGCGCTAAGTAGTTGAGAAGGACAAACCAAAAAACATGGAAAGGAGAGCGAACCGTCCGAAACGGTGCAAACTAGTTGAAACAAACGAACCAATCGTGGAAAGGACTGCAAAATGCTCACACGAGACTAGATCATTTGAGAAAGCGGAAAACTTGAAAACGAGGTGCACGCTCGTTGCAAAGGACCAGCACGACTTGGAAACAAGAGCGAACTAACTCAAAAGAGACTAGAGAAGTTTCGAGAATGAGAAGAATTTGAGAACGAGACGCAAACTAGTTGAAAGGGACTAACAAAAACACGGAAACGAGAGCGAAGCGATTGAACGACAGCGGGCGCTTGAACGAGAATGGACACTTTGAGAAGGTGGAGAATTGGAGAAACAGACGCCGGCTAGTTGAAAGGGACTCAAAAAGATCTTGAACACGAAAGCGAACCGCTCAAACAACTAAAGAATTTTGGAGCAAGATACAGATTAGTTGAAACTTGGAAACGAGAGCGATCGGCTTGAGCGAGACTAGATAGTAAGAGAAACAGGAAACTTTGAGAAAGAGGTACAAACTAGTCGAAAGGGACCCACAAGACTTGGAAACGAGAGCGAACCGCTCGATTCAGACTCGAGAACTTGTGAAAGAGAAGAATTTCACAAAGAGGTGCGAACTGTTACAACTTAACGGACTAACAGCACGAGAGCAAACCGCTGAAAACACACTGGATAATTCGTCTGAGAAAATGAAATTAAAAAAATACAGTGCCAACTATTTGAACGGGACTAACAAAACTTGGATGGCACAGAGGAGCAAACTAGTGAAAGGAACAAAAAACACTTGAAAGCGAGAGCGAACCGATCGAACTAGACTAAAGCAGGAGAACTTCGGAACGGGGCATAAATCAGGAGAAAGGGACCAGCAAACCTTGCAGAAGAAAGCGAACCGCTTGAAAGACGCTAGAGACTTGGAGAAGCACGGGAATTTGCGGAAGAGGCGCAACAAAGCTAACATGGACTATCAAGATTTGGAAACGAATGCAAACCGCTCGAACGACACTAAGGAAGTTGAGAAGGACGATACTTTGGGAACGAGACGCGCAAATTTGTTGAAAGGTCCTAACGAAGTTTGGAAACGAAAGCGACACGCTCGAGAGAGGTTAGAGACTTTGGCAGAGAGGAGAATTTGAGAAAGGGACTAACGAAACTTGGAAACGAAAGCGAACCGCTCGAAAGGCAATAAATAATTTGAGACGGAAGACTAAGAGAATTTGAGAAAGAGGTGCAAACTAGTTAGCTGGTTGAAAGTCACTAACAAAACTTGGCAACGAGATCGAAGAGCTCGAACGAAACTGGAGAGTTTGAGAAAGAGCCGCAAACTAGTTGAAACGGACTAACAACACTTGGAAACGAGAGTGAATCACTCGAGAGAGCTCAAAGACTTTGGCAAAGAGGAGAATGCGCGAGAAAGGCACGCACTAGTTCAGAGGTAGTAACCAATCTGGGAAACGAAAGCGAACCGCCCGAAAGAGATTAGACAATTTTCACAAAGAAGACAATTTGAGAAAGAGGCGTGTGTTAGTTGAAAGGGCTTGGAAAAACTTGCTAACGACAGCGAACCGCTCGACAGAGACTGCAGAACTTGAGAAAGAGGAGACTTTGAGAAAGCAGACTGGTCGAAAGGGGCTTACTACGACACTTGGAAACGACAGCGAACCGAACGAAAGGAACTAGAGACTTTGAGAAAGAAGACAACTTGAGAAAGAAAACTAATTGAAAAGTGGCCTACGAAGATTGAAAACGAGAGCGAACCGCTCGAAACACACTAAACACTTTGAGAAAAAGGGAGACCTTCAGAAAGAGGTACAAACTACTTCAACGGGACTAACGAAACTTGGAAACGAGAGCGAACCGCCCACAACACACTAGAGAATTTCAGACAGAGGAGAGTTTAAGACTGAGGCGCAAGCTAGCTAGTTGAAAGGGCCTGACAAAAACATGAAAACCAAAGCGCACCGCTTGGACGAAACTGGAGAAATTGAGAAAGATGAACTTTGACAAGGAGGCACGACCTGCTTGAAAGGAATCAGCAAATCTTGGAAATGAGCCAACCGCGCCGGAGAGAAAGAGGTGAGTTGGAGAAAGAGGAGCAAACTAGTTGAAAGGGGCTAGCGAAACGGAAAGGCACTGGATAATACTGGAAAGTTTGAGATTTTTGAGAAAGAGGCGTAAGGTAGCTAACGTAACATAATAACAAGGCTCGAAAACGAGAGCGAGCCGCTCGAAAGAGACTCGAGAATTTCAGAAAGAGGAGAACTGGAGAAAGAGTAGTTGAGATGGAGTAACAAACCTCTGAAACGAGAGCGAAACGGAGCAGAAACGGGCAGGCGGGTGCACGATCATAACTAGGATCGCCCAACACTAGACGAGGGTTTTGAACTTTGGAGGTGTGTTATACTGTAACAAAATGAGGGAACCCTCAAGGACACGATTTCCCATTCATGGCTCCCCCATAATCTCCGAGAAGCCGAAAAGCCGTAAAGGCGGTGCACCCGGCCTGCTGTGCCAAGCTTAGAGGCAGTCCGGCTGCTCCGATCATGCCAGGGTAGACTTCGACTGGGGCACCTGGCCGGGCATTTCACTGACCAACATGTAGTTTTAGCTCGCCTGCGGCTAACATTGCATATTTTGCGGCGATGGATGTGAGGAAGCAGCAAAGGATTCAGAGTCGAACTGCGGGGGCGGAGTGCTTTCTGGAAACTCTGAACCTCCAACCCCAAAGCCTGAAAGTCCTAACCCTCATGCAATGCTTGTAGAACCCTCAAGCGAGCCGCTTTAGAACACCCTATTGTCAAGAAAGCGTCATAAGAACCTCTCTAGAAACTTTATGGAACCCCTTCAAAAACACTACGCCGAGCCCCAGAGGCACAGCCGGTGGCCTGCCGGGTAGCCCTGCATCGGACCGAAGGCCCCGGTCGCTCCAGGCATCCTGGGCTTCGCTCAAAACGCGCTTTTCAGAGTTCCCGTACAGTTTTATGGGGTGTTCGGAGACTTGGTTAGACCTTGTCGGTGTTGCTGTTCTTCTTTAAAGTTACGGCTTAGGATTCGTCGAGTTACGACTCAGGCCGTCGTTTCCGGTGTCCGGTTTAGTCTTGGGGTTGGGGCTTAAGGTGTAAGGCTCGGGGCCTGGAAAGTTTCGGACGAAGAGCGGGTGAGGGATCGAGATTTACGGCCTGCAAGTTTGGGGAAAGCAAGGGCTTCAGGCAGGTCGGGGTATGTAGAGTTTAGGACGAAGTTCAGAGGTTTCAGCCCACTGGGTGAACCGCTCGACCCGTTAATGTAGGAGGGGTCGGGGTCTAGGGCTGTTGATTCGGTTGTTCGTTTCAGGGATGAACGATGAGAGGTTTTGCCGTTGTGCGCTTGGTGCACTGTTGCTGCTCATAAGAGTCCTTTTGAGTGCCTGTGGGCTCTTCTTGTGTCTTTACACAGCTTTGGACGGACTGGACACGTCCGATCAAGATCTCTGAACTTCGAGTATCCTCCCAACTTCTCGTCAACCTGAACCCGACATGTCTGATTCTGGGCAGTTTGGAGGTTGCTCCAGCGGAAACCCAAGAAACACAACATTTACAGGACAGGGACTTTACGACCAACAAAAGCCTACGAAACCTTCTGCAAGTTGCAAAACCCGTGCAGCACCGAAACCCTAAAACCTTGGGCCAAAAAGCCTTAACACTTGCATCTCAACCGTGCAGATGCATCAATCCCAAATCAACCTAAACTTTTCAGACTATTCAATACGCAATTGGAAAAAAGCTCACTCCGGCCATAGCGGTCTGTCCAGGTGGGAGAGGCGGAGGCACATACCTTAGTGGTGGTAAAGCGTAACAGTGTAAGCTGGCATCAGCGTTGAGGGCTTCACATCAGTAGTATAGCACGAGTACTGATGGTTGGAAGGGTAGTCGTAATTTAAAGCCTATCCGAACACTCCGACGAAGGTTTAGGATCTGCATGGGTTTTAGGCTTACACAACCTGCCGAGTGCTCCCTCGAAGAGCAAAGGCAAGACTAGCAACAGGTAGAAGATCGCTTGAGAAACTGCTGCGGCTACTAGCTACACGAGGACGGCAAAAGTTACAAACCATGACCGTTACCCACTGCACCACGACACCAATGATTTGTATACTTAGAACCATTGCGGACAGAGGGAGTGGTGTAGTGATTTCCTAAGATCATAAGTTCGTTCCATCTATCCAGTCAGTCAGTCCGTCGGTCGGTCGGTCAGTCCGTCACACGGCCAGCCAGCCAGCCAGGCACTCAGTGAGCCAGACAGGCAGGCAGTCAGTCAGTCAGACAGGCAGGCGGACAGGTAGGCAGGCAGTCAGTCGGCCAGGCAGTCAAACAGTCAGACAGTCAAGCAGTCAGGCAGCCATGCACGCAGGCAGTCAGGTACGCAGTTTTTAGGTCGCCGTTGTCGTCGGCCTCGTCGCTCGTGGCCGTGCCATGCAGTGGCAGTTGCTTTGGCAGTAGTAAACGTAGCAGTAGGAAGGCTACTACTGATGGTGGTGGTAGTAGTAGTAGTA